GCCTGTCCTGTTTCAGTCAAAGACAGTGAGACCAAGGTGATTCGGGAAGTTTATTCGAGTGCAAAGCAGAAGGAAACAGGTAGGGTTTGCTACCTCCAAACTGCTTCAAAAATCCATTGTAAAGCATGTTACATGCCCTACACTGTGTGACCAAAAGGCGAGCTTTTAGCATGATCACAAGAGACAAGGAGCAGTGATCGCAAGATACGATGGGCACTCCAACGAGCGTGCCCGAAAAGCAGGCTGAGCCGTGCTCACCGGAGAGGAGCTATCCCTACATTGCTTCCCAGATTTCAGACCGCCGTCCCCTGAAGCCTCAGAGCCCATTGTTCATCGACCTGAGAGATGCTTCTGGAGCTCCATACGCCACTGTTTATCTTAATGGCCTCGCTTACCAATTTCTGGAGTTAGAACATCTCTATGGATGAGGCTTACAAGGAATTCTGGCTGCAAGGGAGGGAGCTGTTACATTTTGAATTTCCAAAACTAAATCTGTATTTCTGGCATGCTGATTAACAGCAAGCTCTCTTTTCTACCTCCTCTCTCATTCTGACCTGTATTACCAGAGTACCTCTCACCTCAGATACCTTGGAGAGTAGAGAACTCTGCCCTTGTCAGAATGAGTCACAGGGCCTTGCAGACAACTCCCTGCCTCAAATACTAGCTTGCTGCCGCCCCTAGAATTCTGCTACAAGCATCATTGGATTCTCCAAGGCCTTTGTGCTTTTAAGGGACTCTGTTAGCACATGTGTGTCCTTGGAAAGGCATGAGGTATCCTGTTGAGGGACCATACACTGCATTTCTACAGCTAACTAACTGCAGCAGGCTAAGGACTTCACATCCAGCCTTTAACTCTTTCAGCTTTCCCTACTTGGAAGCATTCTTGTACCCATTTTATGGACAAGGAAACAAAGGCTCAGAGAGCTTACCTGGCCTAAGGCCACTGAGGAGTAGCTAGGGGCAGAGCTGAGCCAACTGCATGCAAGCCTAAAAGTCTGGTGCACCTGACAAGAAGGACACAGCATGAACTCGGGGTGTCCACGCAGTACCTGTGAAGGGCAGATACACTACGGAAATCCAGCCAGCCACCGAAGTCCTGCTATCAGCTGTATGAAAATCTTAATTTCTATCCAGTGGGTGCCCTCAGACAACCTGGGGTGGGGGCACCTTAACAAGTTGCATACTGTGCGGCAAGTACCTCGTTAATAAATTTACTTGCTTCGTTTGAACTTTCGTCTATCTCTGGTCTGAATAGTGCCCTTCATCTGAATCGTTTCTTCCGAGAAGGACAAGAACGGAGATAGGAGGGCCTTGAAACCTTGACCCTCTTAGGAAAAGTTTGGCTTTTTTTTTTTTTTTTTTGCTCTGA